TTCACAGTCCACATTTTTTCACAATGTATGGATTTCCTCGGTAGTGGTATAATCTAAGTATATGCAACAAGTTCTAGACCATGTGTAGACTAGTGAAAAACCTCTAAACACTGACATTCCCTAGAAATGTTTCCACAATGTAGCATACATGTGCTTCTAAAGTAGAGCAAAATGTCATTTAGTGATTTAAGGGAGTTGGGGAAAAAATAGGTTATTTAGATAAACTGAGCCTCAAGGTCTCCTTGTATAAACTAGTACACTCTAACTTCTTTGTAATGTCTTTATGTGCATTTCCACGTTTTTTAAAAAGTCTTCAGCCAAAGAGAGGATAATGTAGAAAATTTGCATCTTTTTACAATGAATCCTGTGGGATTTTTAAAAACAGATGTAGAAGGGAGATAAGTGCTGCTCTTTTCTGCACTAATATTAACATACAGCTTCCAAGACCAATACTTCTACTCTAGGTTAATTATAAAATGTTGATGAAGCTTTCATGTCATAATTAGCATGCTTTAGACTATTTTATCTGGTACCTCTGGGTCAAAAATCTGGTCCATTGCCTGTTTATTTCAATGAGTTAACCACAATTTCAAGTGGCCTATAATTATAACAGTGTTATTGGGCACTTATTCTAAAAACACATCACATATATTACAGTAACATGGCAGAGTGCCAGAATATTAATAGCTAGTGGTGTGCTGATAAGCTGCTCTCTGGGGGGAGAAAAAAGCCTTGATTTGCAGTGTTAGCCAATTTCTGTGGTATAAATATTTCCACTGTGACTGATTTCAAGCTTTCAATCACTGACAACAGGCTCATAAATTCTTGAATATCTAACTAGAAGTTTTCGCAAGCTGGTCTGAGCCAGCACTAGCACATCACTGAGCAGCTGATACTTCCACATACTGAGTTCTTATGTTGAAATAATGCTTTTTAATTATCCTGCAATGACTTCATTCAATTATAATATATCCATTAAGAGAGTTTCTATATGTACAACTTCAGGGTTCTTTCTAATAGTCATTATAATAATTTGAGTCACAGAATACTTTGAAGAGCTATTCAAAGGTATAAATCTTTCTCTAAGGGGAGAGGGGAGTGTGCACAACAGTGCCAAATATAATTTCAGGGAGTTCATGGACCTCTTGACGTATGCATATGAGCTTCAGATTAAATATCACTGTGAAGTTTTTGAGCTAGAGAAACCAATTTGACAAGCAACATTCTGAATATCATTGTTTCAGTTCACTATGTGTGTGGATTACGGGAGAGCTCAAAAGTTGCAATCTCATTGCAGAAGAACTAAATTACCAATATATTACTAATCACATTTACTATCTGGCCTCTTCAATTCTTGTTCTAAAATCCAGGGAGCACAAGGAATTTATGAAAAGATCATGAGGTCTACCATTACCTTAAACAATTTAGTTGTGCTTTCCCCTCTTGTTCTAAGTTGTATAAACTGTTATTTGAGAGTAGTTTAAAAAATTCGTGGAAAAATGAGATGAGTGCATCAGTTTGTCTTGATACACCAAGTAATTGAAAACCATATGTAGCTTTTCATAGTATGGGTTTTCCAAAACTTTTGAAGCTTGCTTATATGTGCTAACTTGAGGACTTGTAATATTTCAATTTTGGTTTTCAAATACATGATTCCTATATGTATATACGTGTGTGTGTGTGTGTGTGTGTGTGTGTAGACAAAAACTCAACACCTTTTTTCTTTCTAACATTTATAGTCTCATAACTAAGTCAAACTATGTGCTGAGTAGGCTTAATTAAATCTTACTTCTTTCTAAATAGATCAAGATCCTATTTTATATGGTCTCACAGTATTTTCATTTATATTTTGTAGCCCTCTTTACAATTGGATTTAAATAATTAATTTTCATATGGCTTAATAATATAAAATCATTGTCATATGGTTTAATAATAATAATAAATAATATATCTTCTACTAGAAGGAAACTTTCAAGACCAGAAAATTTATAACCTGACATGATTCATATCATCTAATTGTCACTAAATGAAGATTTGTCAAATAAGGCAATGACTGATTGATCATTTTCTGATTTAATTTTAAACCAAAAGTAAAAATGAAAAGAAAAGAAAAGATAGTTCAACATTTTAGTGAAGCAATTACTAGCTTTAGTCTTGGGTCATTGTTTTTCTATCCATTTACAGATAGCGGTAGTACTTTTAGTACTGGTCATTGGGAGCTGATCCTAAGGATAATGACTGTCTTAGATCTTCATTTAAGAAAGTCTGTACTTTAAAAGGCAAGAAGAAAACTCAACTCTCGTCCTTTTCTGAGGTTTAATTTTTCTGAGTCTTTTTAACTTAATCCTTAAATGAACAGAGTTCTGCTTACCAATGAATACCATCACTGGAGAATTCTGATTCTTAAAGATGGGTTGTAATTAGTAAAGAATTTTTTTAAAGAATTATTTACTTAAATTTTTATTTAGTCATTCATTTTAATTTGATCAGAGAGAGACAGAGAATGAAGGGAAAATGAGAAAGCAAGCCACCAGGTCCAGGACTTGAACTGTGATCGGCCATGTGGGAGTGTCCAGCACCTTAACCACCATGGTACCTGCTGGCCCCAAGAATTTTTGATTTTTATATTGAGTCATTTTGAATATGACTATTAAATTAGTAAATAATTATGCCATAGACTAATACCCCCACTTATTAATGGGATTGCTCATTCAATTAGGGAAAATTTAAAATCTAAATGATGGAATTTTAAATTTTTTAAAAAAATTGCTACAGGGCATGTGCACTTTCTCAAAAGAGAGAGAGGAAGAGAGAGAGAAAGTAAGAAATCATCTTCCAGGGAGATGTCCACATTGCAGTCCTTTTTCCTTTATTCTCTTCTTGACATTTTAGGGGCACATACACAGACACGCCCTGCATGTTCTTCAAGTCACTGGGTCAAGAACTCTAACCATGCAGATGACCATGTGGTATCCAGTCACCTTTAGCACTATGCCACTGGCTTGCATTTTCCAGCATCAATATACCTTGAGATTAGGAAGGATCTTCTTTTTTTCCTTGCTTTTTTTTTTTTTTCTTTTAAGAGGTTTTTGACTTAGAGCACATGCTTTAACCAGAGAGAAACAGAGACAGAGACAGTGAGAGGGAAAGGGAGAAATCACCATTCAGGAGGGATGGCCATGTTGTTATCCCTTCTTCTCCATTCTCCTCCCAGGATCTTGGGAAGGCACATACATGTTCCTAGAGTGATTTTAAAGCCACTGTGTCTGGGGCTCAAACCATAGTCAGCCGTGTGGTAGTCCAGTGATATAACCACTATGCCATCTATTGACCCTAGGAAGGGCTTTCTTAATCTTATCAGGCATGATATATTGTTATAACTGATTAAATGGACAATTGAAGGTTAGATCTCTCTGTCAAAAATATAATCTTAGTCTTTTGACTTTAACCTTTCTATTTGGAACTATTGTTTGGCTCAATACATTGGAATGCAAAGCCAACTTGTTTTACGACATATTTATTGAACATCTACCTTTGTAATATATTGCCAAGGATCTAACAACAGAAAAAAAAAAAAAAAGCAAAAGACACCAGATACTTCATGCCTTCAAAAATTTACATTTTGGCAAAGCAAGAATATAAATTACTGAAATACAAAGCAGAGTGAAGGAAAATCTTAAGAGACATAAAATGATAGAAAAGACAAATATCATATCTATTCCAGTAAGTCAAGAAAGGCTTTATGGAGGAAGTACCATGCTCAGATAAACTTTGAAGGAAAGGTAGAACAGAAACAGATGAAGATTACAGATACAGAGGAAATTCTATGAGCAAAGACATGCAGTTGGGAAAAATTGCAGGCTATATTTTCTTAAGAAAAAGCAAATAACCCAGTTTGAATAGAGTACACATTGCTTATGATGTAGACTTGAAGATGAATTTGCAAAGTAGGTTTTTCCCAGATTGCATTAGGGATCTTCAAAAAGTCCATGGAGAATTGTATTACAGAAAAAGTGCATGGATCAGATTTTTTGTGCATCAAAATAAACTCATACTGTAATCCCATTTTCCCATAAACCTTTAGAGTCCCCTCATATATGTGTAGAGTATTACACAGGCAATGAAGGACTGAGTAGGTCAAAGTCATGGGTTTGAGACTAGTGGTTGCCATGGGACTTGCCTTGCTCCCAGACAATAGATTGCATCTCTGTCTACACATGAGTCTAGATCAAGTTGTAATTATAACTTAGGTATTTGTTTGGTATCATTTATGTCTCTTTTAACCTGTCACCACAGTCTCCTCCATCTTTTTATTCTGCTCTAAGTTAAACCTGTATTTGATCCTAATCTTGAGGAGCAATGACTGAAAATGACTTGGGAACCGGAGGTGCATAGTAGTTTGAAGGGACATTTCAATGTTATTAGGGGAATTCTTAAAGTAAAAGGCTTCAGGACTCTGTGGAATCACATTAAAATGGTGGTGTATGAGGCAGAAGGGTAGATAGGTAGCTGTGGAGAGAACAAGCATGGGCTTTTGAATCATGTAAACAGAACAGCATCCCCATGTCTTCCTTCTGTGAGTCATAGTGGCCATTGCTTGTGACAGCCCAACTCAGAGTGCAGATAATCAGGACAAAACATTTCTAATAGCAAAAATTACTCAAAACACAGGTACAATATTGATCAGTCATATTCTCTTCACAAACTAGTAAAGAGGCATGATGCAGTTAGGAGAGTGGAAAGATAATTAACTAAAATCAGGAGAAGGTGGGATTTAGACCCACACTGGGTTTACACATTTGTTAAATAAAATAACTAGAATTGGATGCATGAATTCTAAGAGCCAGTTCTCCCTAAAATCACATCAGAAGGCAGAGATTATAAGATATCCTTCCCTGCAGTTCTGAGCCATAGAGGAATGTCAATTCTGAAGGAACCCAAGCCTTATAAAGGTGGCATCTTTGACAGCTCTGTTCATTGTGCCTGTTCTGTACAGAGGGCTATGGGGAGGTGAGAGCTGGGGATGGACAGATAGAGGACTGACAAGGGAACTGGGGACCTGCGTCTTCTGTCAGTTCCACAAGGTGGCATTCTGTCAAGAAGATGTTTCGTTGGGCAGGTGGTACCTGTGGGTGATTCCTGGAGTGCCACTGTTTGCAGGAAGGAGAGATCACATTCCGGAATGCTGCCCGGAAGCGGCGAGACAGTAGATTATAGATAATGGGGTTGACAGCTGAGCTTAGGTAGAAGAAGACACCTGGAAGGCAAGAGATTAAAAAAGACATGCTGAGGAGTATGTGAGTGAGAAGTATGTTAGGGAGAAGCATAAAGATTTAGTGAAGCCCTAGGACCCCCACGTTGCCTCTTTTGGAAGTGTTGAGATATACAAGGCTCTAATTTAGAATACAAAATTCTCCAAACAGATCTACTACCTGTGCACTCGGGAATCATCACAGAAAGATTAAAGAGTCCTGGAAAAATTAGGCTGGCATAAGATCTTTTCGAGACGTTCAGCAACTTCCTTTGATCCATACTTGTTTAATTAAAGAACATGTTCCCATAACATTAACGAGAGATGCATAAGTATCAGAGGGAAGAGAGATGTTTTATCCCATTGGAATTTTACTTAAATCTATCATTTGAAGCTGCAAGTATTGGTGGAATGGCAAATCAGGCAAGCTTAGTCCCTGCTGAGATTCCTTATCATGCTAAATATCTCCTCAAAGAAATATTCTCCAATGTTCTTTCTCTCCCTGTACTTTTCCCTCAATGGTTCTTCTACCTTATTGAATAAGTATATTTTACTATTTATTTTTTCCTCTAAATGTCTTGCACATTGTCATTTTCCTGTTTTATATATACTCTTTCATTATTACCTATCCTATTTTATTTCTTTAAGACCCAAGGTGAGCCTAAAGTTGGAAATTACAGGACTTTGTTCGTTCGTTCTTTCTTTCTTTCTTTCTTTCTTTCTTTCTTTCTTTCTTTCTTTCTTTCTTTCTTCCTACTTTAGATCTGGCTTGTTTTGTGACTTTAGGCAAACACTAGCATTTCAATTTATTTCTCTATAAAATGGGAATAAAAATTCCAGCCTAACCAATGTACCTGGATTATTATGAAGAAAGTTGAGATATCATTCACAGGGGGACTAAGAATGTCTAAGAATATGAAACAAGTGAAAGATACTATTGTGAACATGTTCCTGTTGTCTTTATTTATGTCATTTAGGACATGCAGAATGTCATATGTCCTATGTACAGAATGAGCAGGAGGAATATAGGAAAACATTGCTATGAACTCTTAATTAACTCAAATAAATATCAATAGAACTCATACTCCAGGAACTTCCCGGCACATTGGAGACTGTTCTCCACAGACTTGGAATAGTAATGCAGGGGTAAGAGCTATGACTAAATTCAATAATTAACAATTGAACAATATCAAACAATGTCTGTTATCATGAGATATCAGCAGTCATGCTATGGCCATCTGCATAATGGCATGAAAGCAAGGACTGTGATGATCATGAATAATCTACTGGTAGTGTTTATACTTTAGTCAGACCTTGAAGTAGACAGGAGATAGTTGAGGAAGGGAGGAGAGGATGTTTCAGGTAGAAGACATAGTATGTACAGAAATAATTTGCCAAACTCTGTGATTTTTGCAAATTATTTATTTGATATTTTGATAGTATGTTCTATGAATAGAAATACTGGAACTTGGGGGATGAAAAGTCAAGTTAGGTAGTATTTTCTGTAGTGTGTAGGAGGTTTAAATTTCATCTAGTTTACAATATGGGAAAAGGGACGATCATATCTTTGGATAATGTCGTTATTAAAGCCATAATTTGGAAATCTTAAAATACTTACCATTTACTTATTTATTTATTTTGGAGAGATTTTTGCTATAGGACATGTGCGCTTGACAGAAAGACAAAGACAGAGAGTCAGAAAACAAGAAATCATCCCCGGGGAGATGACCACACTGCAATCTCTTCTCCTCATGCTCCTCTCGGGATCTTGGGCATGCACACACACATGCCCAGTGTGAGTTTTAGCCACCGGGTCCAGGACTCAAACTGTAATTGACTACATGAGAGTCCAGTGACATAGCCATTACTTCATCTGCTGGTTCCAAAATACTTACCTCTTAATAATGCACCTGGAAAGACATAATCAACTAGTTAAGATTCACATAAATTGTACTAATTTAAATGCTCCCATTTATCTCAGATTAACAATAGAAATAAGCTAAATGCTGTAAATATTTTGGGGATTTGGACCTGACTGTCAAATAGTTGAATATGAAAGTACTAGTGTCCAGGTATAAGTTATACACAAAGCCTGCTGAGTACAAAAGAGAGAGTTATGGGAAATAGATAATACACATGATATTCAATACATATGTAACATATATTGAGTCATGAGGAAAGTCATGATGTATTTTTGCATATAAAAACATTGAAAAATAGATCATGACAGCCACACACACACACACACACACACACACACACACACACACACAAACATGCCATTGTTTTTGCTCTGTGTGCATCTGATGCTTAGCTTGTATAAACTCATCTTATCTGTGCTCTTGGTAATGACTTTGATGATCTAAAGAGCCATAGACTCAGCCAGGGACTAGCAGAGATGGAGGGACATAAGGCTAACCACTGCAGTAACTGAGAAAGAAGCGCCCAGATGGTCCTTCTCTGCTCTGTGTTAGTGGAAGGAACACTGCACTTAGGCATAAGCCCTGTTGTTGTTTTTTTTTGGAGAGGTTTTTGCTATAGGGCACGTGTGTTCACCAGAAAGGCAGAGACAGACAGAGAGATAGAAAGCAAGAAATCATCCCCCAGGGGGGATGGCCATGCAGCAATCCCTTCTCCTCCATTCTCTTGGGATCTTGGCCACACACGCACAAGCGCCCAGCGTGAGTTTAAGCTACTGGCTCTGGGACATGAACCGTGGTTGGCTACATGGGAGTCCAGCAACACAGCCATTACTCTACCTGCTGGTCACTAGCCTTATTGTTATTATTTGCCAGCTGAGTGCCTATGGGAAAGTCATTTCTTCTTGTGCAATAGTTTCTTTGACTTTTTATGTTTATGATAATTTTCACTAATGACTTTGCTGTGATTCCAGAAAGACACAAAGCATTTTATCACTCAAAAGCTCTTTAACATCTATTATTTCATTTACTTCTTACCAACAGTCCATCATTTGTCTAGAGGAGATATTACTGCCCCTTTAAAGTGGAGAAAACTTTGACATTAATGGTGGAGGGACCAGCAGATTGTGTAATGGTTATGTTGCTAGACTTCCACATAGTCAACCACAGTTTGAGCCCCAGACCTGGTGGCTTAAACTCATACTAGGCACAAGTGCATGTATGGCCAAAACCCCAAGAGGAGAATAGATGAGAAGGGATTGCAGCATGGCCATCCCCCCACAGGTGTTGATTTCTCGCTTTCTGTCTCTCCACTGAGTGCATGCACATTATAGCAAAAATCTCTCTCTCAAAAACACCCCCAAACAAACAAACAAACAAACAGAATATTAATAGTGGAATTGGGGTGAAAAATCCTTGTCCTCTGACTTAGTGACCTTTACACCACTATTTCTACCATATTCCGTGGTGTCCTCTAAAAGCAGAGTTAAAGTAGCGTAAAAGCAAACTTCATTTCTTCATAAATGCCCTTAAGTTGTATTTTATGAGGGTCTTATGCTTGGTGAAGGTGATATGAGATTTCAGGAACATGAGTATTTACTAAATAAGAACGAGTTGAATCACATGGCCATTAGAAAGAAAACCAAAGTAATCATGCTGTAATCATCTTAGAGTTCAAGTTTTCTATAAAGTAACCTCTGAAATAGCAATCTGGCCTGTTTCTTTCAGACCAAAAACATATGTAATCAATTTTTTGAATAAAAAAAGTCAAGTGTCTTCATTATAGATAGCAGGCCTCCATGATAAATCAGTATATCCAAGTTTCTAAGCAAGATGCAACTAGCTGGATATGTACGCAACCAAACCAAATAAGCTTTTACCTGATATTACATGGATAAGATTGAATACTGTAGCCAGGGATTCAGTCCATTCCTCTACAAAGCTGAAGAAGAGTCGGTCCACATGGAATGGAGTCCAACAGATAGCAAACACCAAGACTAGGACAACTGGAAAGGGATGAAACATGGAAAACCAAAAGGCAATCTAAGTGAAAATAGGTATGCAATGCTTACTCTGAGCCATCCATTCCTTCTGGCAGTTTTCTCCCCTGCCTCTATTAATCTCTAATGGCTATATGCAAACTACATCCTGAAGAGTCTAATAAAAAATATTTATAATTGCATAGGATCTAGAATCAGTTTTCAATATGATTTCACAAGATTTCTTGTATAATGTAAGTTTCCTTTAGAAGAGTTAGATTACTACTGTATCTCTTTTAAAGTTCTGAAACATTTTACTGTGGAAAATAAAGTACGTTGCAAATAAGTTGTTGGAGTCACATAAAGCTGTTATATAAAAAAATGGCTACGTTCACGTAGTTGTAAAGTCATTTCCTAATAAACTGTTAAATATATGTGTGAATTCATCTTTTTACTCCATAGGTTATTAGAAGTTTTCTGAGCTCAATCATTTAAAATTCTGTAATTGGTAGGGAGGAGAGAGGAAGATTGAACAACCACATACACAACACTGCTTTATGATTATATTTTGATGGTGAGAAAATGCATTTGTTATGTTACAAATTGCTAAGGCAAATAGTCCTTTCAATTTCTTATTTTCCACTCTCCACACAGAGCTTGGTTCTAGTAGTTCCTTTTTGAGGCATTTAATCTCCACAAATATAAACATCTACTTTTGTTTTTTCTTCTGAAGTTGTAGAATACTTTCCTTTGCTATGACATGATGCCCGGGATTTGCCTTGAAACAGTTTTGGAGGAGCTAGCTAGTATAAATGAAACCAGACTAGCTATGAGTAGATATTGGGTTGTCAGAAAAGTCATGATGGTTTTTTTTTTTTTCTATGCAAAAATGCATCACAACTTTTACAAGAACCCAGTAATTTTTCAAGAACGATGATGGGGCCTTCCGAATCTTCGCGCATCCCCACCGTTTCTCCTCCTTGGACTCCAGGTTGGTTGTCTGGGACTTTGAGGCAAACTCTCACCCCACCCGACTCGCAATCTGGATCGAGCCAGCCAGTAGTTCCGGGTGCCAGGCGGACTGAGGCTGCAGGCCTGACCCTGCTGAATCTTCGCGCATCCCCACCGTTTCTCCTCCTTGGACCCCAGGTTGGTTGTCTGGGACTTTAAGGCAAACTTCCACCCCACCCCACCTGCAATCCGGATCGAGCCGGTCAGTAGTTCTGGACACCAGGCGGACTGAGGCTGCAGGCCCGACCAACCTGGTCCTGTTACTCATGCTCTGACCCTTTCCCACTAGCCTTTGGACTCTTTGAATTTTGGTGATTTGAATAGCGTGTGGTACGTGCGCCGCCCAATTTCCTTTTTTCGTTTTGTTTTTCTTTGCTCTTGAGGTGTTGCTTATTAGGTGACTTGGAGGCTCACAACTCCTTAGAAATAGGGAGGACTTTGGGCTATCCAGGGCTAGTGGCAACAGTTAATGGTAATTGTGAGCAACAGGTAGGCCAACCTGACCAAACTAACTGAGATGGAAGAGAAAAGAGACAAGGAGCTCCAGGAGATGAGGAAGTCCTTTAATGACTTGAAAGAAGAAATGGATACCCTAAACAAGAACCAGATGGAACTTCTAGGTTTGAAGAATGTGATAGAGGAAATCAAAACCTCCCTTGAAAGCATTAAATGTAGGTTAGACCAGGCAGAAGACCGAATCTCTAACGTAGAAGACAAAACATCTGACCTAGATAAAAGTATCAAGAAGATTGAGAAAACAACCATGAAAAATGAGGATAATATACGAGGAATACTGGACACCATCAAGCGCCCCAACATTCGGATAATTGGTATTCCGGAGGAGGAAGAAAATAATAAGGGCCTGGAAAATTTATTCCATGAGATCCTGGAAGAAAACTTTCCAAATCTAGAAAGGCATTCAAATATCCAGACCCAAGAAATACAGAGGACCCCAAGTAGAATCAACCCAAGAAGATCATCTCCAAGGCACATCATAGCCAGACTGGCAAAAACAACAGATAAAGACAAGATACTAAAGTTGGCAAGAGGGAAACGCCAGGTTACTTACAAAGGTCACCCCATCAGGCTAACATCGGATCTCTCAGCAGAAACAATGCAGGAAAGGAAAGAATGGGGAAGCATAGTCAAAGTGTTGAGTGAAAAACAATTTCAACCAAGAATACTATACCCGGCAAAATTATCTTTTATATGGGAAAAAAAGATAAAAACATTCTCAAATAAACAAAATTTGAAGGAATTTACCAACACCAGACCAGCTCTTCAAGAGGTTTTGAAGGGAGTACTATACCAGGAAAACTAAAAAATCAGAGACAGTTATACGAGAACAAAAAACAACTAAGAAAATGGCTCACTTAATGATAGGATCAGGTATGGAAATATCGATAATTACATTGAATGTCAATGGATTAAATTCCCCAGTTAAGAGACATAGACTAGCTGAATGGATAAGAAAACAGAAACCCTCTATCTGTTGCCTACAAGAAACTCACTTTATGGATAAAGATATACATAGACTAAAAGTCAAGGGCTGGAAAAAGATATTCCATGCAAATGGAAATCAGAAAAAGGCTGGAGTAGCGATATTGATCTCAGACAAAATAGATTTTAAAACAAAGACTGTAAGAAGAGACAAAGAAGGGCATTATATAATAGTAGATGGGGTAATCCAGCAAGAAGATATAACCCTTATAAATATCTACGCACCCAACTCAGGTGCGCCTAAATATGTGAAGGAAAGACTGCTGGAGCTAAAAGGAGACATAGGGAAAAATACTATAATTGTTGGAGATCTCAACACCCCGTTATCTCCTATAGACAGATCTTCTAGACAGAAAATAAATAGAGAGATACAGGACTTAAATGATACTATAAATGGAATGGGCTTGACAGATATCTATAGAACTTTCCACCCTACATCCACAACATATACATTTTTCTCACCCCGACATGGAACCTTTTCAAAGATAGATCATATATTAGGACACAAATCAAGCCTTTACAGATTCAAAGGCATAGAAACTGTACCCAGCATCTTCTCTGACCATGATGGAATTAAACTCAAGATTAATTTCAAGAAACAACCCCGAAAACACACGAACACATGGAAACTGAACAACCTACTTCTGAATGACTTCTTCACTACTGAAGAAATTAAGGCTGAAATAAACAAATTTATGGAAACAAATGATAATGAGGACACAAGTGTCCAGAACCTATGGGACACAGCAAAAGCAGTCATAAGAGGGAAATTCATAGCAATTAGTGCACATAAGAAAAGGATGGAAAGATGGCAAGTAGATAACTTATCATCATGCCTCAGAGAACTGGAAAAACAACAACAAACGAACCCCCAAAATGCCAGGCGAAAAGAAATAATAAAGGTTCGAGCAGAAATAAATGAAATAGAAAATAAACGAACCATACAGAAAATAAATGAAAGCAAAAGCTGGTTCTTTGAAAAGATCAACAAGATTGATACTCCATTGGCTAGACTGATCAAGAAGAAGAAAGAAAGAAACCAGATTAATCAAATATGTGATGAAACAGGCAATATTACCACGGACATAGCAGAAATACATAATATCATTAGAGGATACTATGAGCGACTTTACGCCAACAAACAAGATAACCTGGAGGAGATGGACAAATTCCTGGATGCATATAAACTACCAAGATTGGATCAGGAAGACATAGAGAATCTGAATAGACCTATAACAAGCCAGGAGATTGAATCAGTAATTAATAATCTCCCAACAAAGAAAAGCCCAGGCCCAGATGGCTTCACTTGTGAATTCTACAAAACTTTCAAGGAAGAATTAACCCCTATCTTACTAAAATTATTTCTAAAGATTCAAAAGGAAGGAAACCTTCCAAATTCATTTTATGAAGCCTCCATCATCCTCATCCCCAAAACAGATAAGGATATGACAAAAAAGGAAAACTACAGACCAATATCATTGATGAATATAGATGCGAAAATTCTCAACAAGATACTCGCAAATCGTATCCAACAACATATAACAAAGATCATTCATCACGACCAGGTAGGCTTTATACCAGGGATGCAAGGGTGGTTCAATATACGCAAGACCATAAATGTAATACACCACATTAACAGAAAGAAAGATAAAAACCATATGATCATCTCAATTGATGCGGAGAAAGCGTTTGATAAAATACAACATCCTTTTATGATTAAGACTCTCAGTAAGATTGGTATAGAAGGGTCATTTCTGAACACAATAAAAGCAATCTATGAAAAACCTACAGCTAATATTATACTGAATGGGGAAAAGCTGAAAGCTTTTCCTCTGAAAACAGGTACTAGGCAAGGCTGCCCACTTTCTCCACTGCTCTTTAATATAGTACTGGAAGTCTTAGCTATTGCAATCAGAGAAGAGAACAGTATTAAAGGCATTCGAATAGGCAAAGAAGAGTTGAAAATATCTTTATTTGCAGATGACATGATGGTATACTTAGAAGACCCAAAGGTATCCATGAAAAAACTGCTTGAAGTAATAAGTGAATACAGTAAGGTGGCAGGATACAAAATCAATATCCAAAAATCTATAGCATTTCTATTTATGAACAACAAGTTGAATGAAGCAGAGCTGAAGAAAGGAATCCCTTTCACCGTAGCCACAAGATGTATAAGATATCTAGGGATAAACCTAACTAAGAAAGTCAAAGACCTTTATAAAGAAAACTACGAGAATCTTAAAAAAGACATTGAAAGTGACATAAAAAAGTGGAAGGACATCCCATGCTCCTGGATTGGTAGAATTAACATAATCAAAATGGCAATTCTACCCAAATTAATCTACATGTTTAATGCAATTCCAATCAAAATACCAGAGATATTCTTCAGAGATCTAGAAAAGACAATTATAGAATTTGTCTGGAACCATAAAAGACCTCGTATTGCAAAAGCAATCCTGCGTAAGAAGAATGGAGTAGGAGGCATATCACTCCCTGATCCCAAGATATACTATAAAGCTGTGGTCATCAAAACAGCATGGTATTGGCATAAAAACAGACATGTGGACCAATGGAAGAGAATAGAGACCCCAGAAATAACTCCCAAAGCTTATAGCCAACTGATCTTTGACAAAGGATATCAGTCAATCCATTGGGAAAAGGAAAACCTCTTTAGTAAATGGTGCTGGAAAAACTGGGTATCCACCTGCAGAAAGATGAAACTGAACCCCCATCTTTCACCATTAACAACAGTCAACTCAAAATGGATCAAAGATCTGAACCTAAGACCTCAGACAATAAAACTACTTGTGGAAAATGCTGGGGAAACTCTGGGAGACATTGGAGTAGGCAAAGACTTCTTAAATAAGACTCCCAAAGCACAGGCAATAATCCCTAAAATAGACAAGTGGGACTATATTAGACTAAGAAGTTTCTGCACAGCAAAGGACACAGTAACAAGTGTGAACCGACAACCCTCAGAATGGGAAAATATTTTTGTTAAATATGCCTCAGACAAGGGACTGATAACGAGAATACATAGGGAACTCAAGTGCCTTATGCGAAAAAAAATGATTAACCCGATTAAAAGATGGGAAAGTGAGCTGAACAAAAGTCTCTCTAAGGAAGACATACGAACAGCCAAAAAGCATATGAGGAAATGCTCGACATCCCTCATCATAAGGGAAATGCAGATAAAAACCACAATGAGATACCACCTAATCCCTGTCAGAATGGCAAAGATTAAGAATATAAAAAGTGATAAGTGTTGGCGGGGATGTGGTGAAAAGGGAACCCTCCTACACTGTTGGTGGGAATGTAAACTAGTTCAACCACTGTGGAGAACAATATGGAGGCTCCACAAAGATCTACAAATAGAACTACCATTTGATCCAGCAATCCCACTTCCGGGTATTTACCCAAAAGACAGGAGAACACTCACTCAGAAAAGTGTTTGCACAGCAATGTTTATTGCAGCATTATTCACAATTGCCAAGACATGGAACCAACCTAAATGTCCACAAACTGATGAATGGATTGGAAAAGTGTGGTACATATACTCTATGGAATACTACTCAGCCATAGAAAATAACAAGACCCTGGCATTTGATAGAAAGTGGTCATATATGGAGGATCTATTGCTGAGTGAAGTAAGCCAGGCTATGAAAGAAAGATATTGTATGTATCCACTCAATATATACTGACTATCCACACTCT